ATTGCCGGCTTCCACCCTATGGGAAGTTTCGGGATGCTTCGGTCATTACCCTATACTAAAGTTTTTAATTGTCCGTAAACTAGTGGTCTATTTTCAATCATACTAACGACGTATCAAAGTTGACCTCTCTGCGGTTTTCTTTAGAACAAGGACTTGGATTAGCTCTTGACAACTTAAGTTCCGCAAAATGAAATGGTGTTACTATAGCCCAGTGTAAAGGCTAAGGTTGAGTGTGCATATTGTCAGGTAAAATGACTCTCGCGAAACGTGGTTCCTGTTCATAATGTTGCATTTAGCAAAATAAACTTTGCTTCACAGTAATGAAAAAAGTCTTACCCCCTAGCTCAAAACAAATAAAAAACTTCTTAAATTCGGGATCCGAAACATAAAAAATAGTCACTCTAATCAAAAGTGACATCTTGCAAAATGTGAACCACCATTGTTATTTTAATGTCCCATTAATTCTTAGAGTTAAAAACAAACAATCGTAAAAAGTTAAGTGATGTAAGATGCTAAAAGGAACTTACTGTTAATTTGGGGTTGGATTCTATAATTTGTGCAGCCTTTGATCAAATGTGCCCGGAGCCTACGCTGACCTAAATGATCAGGCCGTGGATGTAACGGCTAGTTTATAGCGGTGAGGCAATATGCATTTGTGCAACGATGTATTATTATGGATCGGGATAGAATTCTTACTTCTATGCTTGCCAAACACATTATTTGTTCTAGGAAAGAGTCCTTTTAAATTCTCTGTGTTATAAGCATATGCTACTGCTAGAATGTTTGATCATTCTCCATTAGATCGCTACACAATGTAGAAAACATTAAGGCATAGAGAACTTTAACGGATCAATGTATCACACACTATACTTTCACGGAGATAGTCAAGTTTACTGATTAGTTGTCTTTCCTCTAAGTTTTTCAGTCAACATTTAGTTACTTATAACACTCTCATCTGACGTATTTCCAAAAGAATCCTTTCCTTTTTTTCCGATTTAGGGAAATCGCTACTATATAGCTCGTTGTTTCCTTTTCGATCATTGCATGATATCATGCATAGCTTAAATACTTCACGATTCACAAGTTTGCCTTATACGGTTGCATAGGACTCCTCAAAATCTGTTCAAGCATAATGGCCATTATTTTTGTCGCTTGACTTTTTTTATAATTCTTTTTAGATTTTGCAAAAATGTTGCCGCAGGTCCATATTTTGAATGCGCATGCAGACGACATCGCAAACCTGGTCTATGACGGTATGTGATCGTCCATTATCACGTATTTCAGAACTCACGAAAACAAGTTCAGTTAGGGACTGTATGAATATCGACTGTAAATATTATACAGCCTCGGTGCAGTTGAAGCTGATTCCGTACTCATATTCAAAAACGGATGTTAAGGGCACCGAGGCTCTGATGATCTGTTTCGATTCGGGAAACGTAGGTGTTACTGTTCTTTCTATCTGGGTCTACAATTCTGCATCCATGCTTAATGATAATGCACTCACATTTTTGTGCTAGCCAGAAAGCTGGTCGGTTGCTTGTGACTGGCTGAAGTTGGGAGAGGAGGAGGACATTGCAGTTCATCTTCTTATATGCGATTCTTTATCGAGTGAAAATTTTCGCACAGAGGTCTTCAAGGAGGCCACAAAGTATCACTTCGAGATCGTCCAACTTTCTCCTCATTGCGATGAAATAGAAGAAGGTTTGCATTTTTCTTGAAACCTTAAAAACTCAGATGAGGAGTATGGAGTTGCTAGAATCACAGCAGCCCTGGTTGCTCATCAGTGGCCCAACCTCGTTCTCAAAAGTGAGTGCGAATTTTAAGTTCTTTAACAAATTTCTTCTTGCTTGTAACATATAAGTAACATTTTTTTCAGGTTCGCAAAGGGATATTTGTGAATGCGTTCCCGCAGGTCATTCGCAGCGGAAGCCGAAGGTGGCTACTCCAGAGAAGAAGGCAAACCAAAAGGATGCTTTTAATGGCGATGAAGATGAAACGAAAATTGATAGCGAAATGTTTAATGAACTCTTTCCCAAACTCGTGGAAATGCGAACAAGATGTACCAGTATGGATCTCGAAGGTCGCCGAAAAATGGCTGAAAGGGTGAGAGTTCTAAAGTTGCGTATTTAACAGCTTTACTTGTGTTAATAGAGTTTCATCAACTAAGTGGAAGTGACCCTCACGTTTGTGCATCTTTACGGTGCTCACTATTTCTAATTCAAAATTCTGAATTTGCAACATTACCAAG